ATTATGTACTTGTAAATTAAATTTATATTCAAAAAATTATTTTAATAATATTATTATTTATTACATCATCAGGTTCGACCCAATTGAACTCGTTGAATCATGAACATCTCCTTCTTTCTTCATTGTCCGATCCGATTTTCATAACCTTACTATTTATACTTTAAAACTCTTAATTTTTTACTTTTTTTTCAGATATTCTTAATTTTTCAGATATATATATATTTTTTCAGAAATAATAAAAAAGAAAATAATATATTATTTTAGATTTTATAATTTATAAATAAGCATAATTTTTGTATATTTATTTATTTCTTTGTGTGCTAAACTAATCCTTTAAATTCTATATAAACTATTTTATTTTCACAGTTCAATTATCTTTTTATATGGAATAGGAAAATCTGAAACAAAATATTCCCTAAATGTTCATTTTTATTAATTTAATAAATCAGTAACTTAATAAGTTTTTGGAGAATACTCTATATATTAATAAATAATAATAGAGGTGAGGGTTGAGCATTAGTCTACATTTTTTTAGACTTATTTTGACCCAGAATTGGCCTAAGGTCAAAATGACCAAAATGCCCTTAAAGGGGATTGTGAGGGTTGAGCATTAGTCTACATTTTTTTAGACTTATTTTGACCCAGAATTGGCCTGAGGTCAAAATGACCAAAATGCACTTAAAAGGGATTTTTTTACTTTTGGCCTAAAACCAATTTGACTTAACCCATCAATATTTGAAAACTTTTCCAACCATTTAATAAAAATGATATTTGGGACACATTAGGCCCAACTCCAAATCTTGAGTCAACCTGTTTGGCTAGGTCAACCTATTTGGACCCAATAACCCATTAAGAGCCCAAACAAGCTTTTTGACCCAAATGACCTCTATGGACTTTGAGGCACCATCCATTGATTTTATGTGACCAAGTGGGATTCAAGGGACCCAACTCTTGGTCCTAGGTCAACTTGGTTGACCAAGTCAACCAAGTTTGACCAAATCTCCCATACACCTCCTTTTATTCAAATCCTTTGATGAAAACCATTTAAGCCTAATTTAAACTAATGGGATGACCCATTGGACCCCCAAGAACTTCCCCTTGAAGACCCAAATCTTGGGCCCACTTGGTTTAGCCATTTGTCTTGACCCAAGTGCCCAAAGAGAGGTAACCTTTGAGTCAAATTCTTACCCTAGCTCAATTGGATCTAATCAATGGTGACATTGGGCTTCCCTTGAACCAATGCATCTTCCCTAGTCGACCCAGCTCTTGGGTCAAGTGGCACCGAAAATCATTATCGGCGGTGTTTTTCTGGTGGTTTGTTTCACCAATGGTGTTCCGGCTGTTTAGACAGCCCGTTATTATTGATATTTTTACCGGCGGCTTCCCGGTCTTCCGACTGCTCGTAAAAATACCGTTGTTCAACTGCCGGTAAACGTATCAGTGGCTAACCGGTGGTCATAACCAAAGGAATTACCGACGGTTGTAGCCTCCAGTGTGTTGCCGAACTACCGTCGGACACCGTCGGTAAAACGCCTGTAAATATCGATGGTTATAAGGAATTTCTGGTGGCGTCAATCAGCCGTCTGGTATCAAAGTTTTTGGCAGCTAAACTGCTGGTTAGCTGCCGAAAACTTGTAGCATCTAAAAAAAATTGACAGCCCCCCTTTATTTGAGAGATTTTCACCCTAAACTCTAAACCTGTATAGAAAACAATAACCATAATTTTGGGCAACACGCCACTATAATCAGACACAGCAATTATCACAAATATAACCAAACAAAACAAATATATTCTAACTTCACAAGTTCAACCAAGTTCATAAAACCTAAGTTCTAAGTTCAATAAGTTCAACCAAATAAGTTTACAATCAAATCATCATAAGTTCATCAAATATAAAAAAGTGCTAATCCTCACCTATATCCTTGCTGTCTGGAGATGCATGTGGCTGCTCTATCCCTTGCTTTTTTTTCCTTTGATTTTTAGCTATATAGGATTGCAGCTCTGCTTGCATTTTATTTTGAACCTTTCTCATCTCTTTAATCTCTCTAGTCAACACTGCAACTCTCTGGCTTACAGTTTCTTCATATCCACTTGGATCATAAAATGCTGAGGTGGATGAACTGCCATCATAAGCATAGCCCTATGAACCCAAGCCATATACCCTCCCCCTCTGTCTTCCTCCAGCAACATCTGGCCATATATGATACTCAAAAATCAGGGTCGATCTTGAAGATGATCCCTCACCAATGGACTGCCGACTTTCCCAAGCTCATACAAAATCATCCTACGAGAATAAATCCATAAAATATATTGATATTACAATTAGTTTTATTATAAAAAATTTTTATTCCCAAACACCAAAAAATTATACTCACATAAGCCTTATTAGCCTTTTCATCAATCCACTAATGGTCAGCTTGATGTTGATGAGTTCTCGTATACAACTCCAGCGGTGTTGGCTCCCAACCAAGGTACTCTTTTTGAAAATATAAGATATAGTTATAATAATATAAATATATTTAATAAACTAATTTAAAGCTCTTACCAGTCATAATCTATGTTCCGTATGAGGAACAGATCAACCAGTATGAAGAGAGCTTCCCAAACCCCCATAGTTAGAGGCTCTATTCTGCTTATTCTGCTCTCTTATTTTTGTGAAGTCAGGGGTCGCCCAAGCTCTACTCAGATCAGCCCTTACGCCCTCTCCAATCCATATTGGATGCAGCCCGAACTTTCTAATATCTGTGAACATGTCCTTGAGACGGGTCGCTCCTCTCCTCTCAAAATTTGTCCTGATCCTCGTGTTATGCTTAGACAACCACCTAAATTCTTTATGTAAAAATTTAGGCATAACCAAAAAGATTAATACAAATTAAATCAAATATTTGAATTCATACCAAATAAGTATATCTGAAATTCTCCAAATCACATATCCCTAATGTCCTTTTGGATCTTCTTCCATCATAAGTAAGGAGCATCATATTCGTTCTTTATAATATCCCAGATCTTGCAAGTAGGTGGCCTTGAAGGATTAAAGCAGCAGGTTAATTTTTTTATCAATAACATATAATATATCAAAATATAATCAACTTAATAACATAAAATAAACTTACTTATTACCCTCAGGCTCAATATATTGACACTTATCTGCTGCAGTTACATGATCCCTAGCAACAATCTCTGTTGGTCTAAATGGTCCACCGTATTTTGGCTACATCGAATATGGGTAATAATATGTGTAGGGGTAAAGAGGGTGAGGACCAGTGGATGGACCTACTGCCTGTGATGATGGTGAGGGATAATATGGATAAAATTGAGCTGCATGTGCCTGATCTTGAGAGGAAAAGTGAGGACTCATTAATGGAGGAGGGAAGTAGCTAGGCAAGGTTGGTGGTACAATAGCAGGTGGATCTGATTGACCCTGACCCTGCTCACTCGGGGACTGTTGCTGACTCCTAGGAGGTGATGGTGAAGGTATAACTGGTGGAACTGATCTCTATCCCTTACCTTTATTAGGTTGTCTGGGTCTGTTGGGATTAACACTCAACTTCTTTCTATAGAACTTTGAGGCAAACGATCTATGAGGAGGATCGTCACTTGAAGCCATCTGCATTAAAAAAAAGTAATTAGTAAATCATTTTAATATTTAAAAAGTATAATTCTACAATTCTAAAAATTACATAATACAAATAAAAGAAGTAATTAGTAGAGCAATTAATGAATTACAAAAATAAAGAATGTCAGAATACAAATAAATAATTAACATTTTCATTACTCAGAATTCAAAAAGTAAAATTCTAAATATTACAAAAGTAAAATTCTATAATTTTAAAATATAAAAACTACAATTCTAAATTATAAAACTACTCATAATCAGAACTATTTTCATTACTCTCTAGAGTATCTTCACTTTCATCCTCATTTTCATCTTCGTCTAAGCTAATTGAACTATTTACATCTTCTAACTGTATTTCTATTATATTTTACATCGACTAAACCATACGTAGGATGAACCCTTATGCCTCTATTCTATACTGGATCATATCATTAACAGTTAAACAAGCAAACCAAGTTCTCATCTTCGTCTGGGTATTCCAGGTCAAGAATCTCATTCAGAATATCGTAATAATCACACTCATCTTCTTCATGAGTGCTCCCTCTAACACATACTCCATAATTTTCAATTTT